TCCATATCAGTGAAGTCACAGTAAACATTTAGGTCATATAGGAACAACTGTTTCCTTTGTCCTTGGTTAATTAAATATAAAAATGTGCAGACCTGCATAGGAATATCACCCCAATTCTCCTGATGTCATCAACGCAGATATTTGCAATGCTGCTCCTACAATATTGATAGTTGAATTGTTAATTCAAGAACTGCAATAGAGAGTCTAATATTTTCCTGTTATGCTAATAACTTTATGGCTGTGATTCTAAGCACAGTTGTATAAAAAGTTTCCTACCAAAGCAGCAATTACTACATGCTGCATTTCTTTTTTCCTCAGGGACTTGTTCAGGTTGCAGATGGAAAGATTGTAGGTTTGTATTATACTTCATAAAAGAAACCCAATAGGAATATTCTGTAAAATGTGATAAAATGTAGAGATCTACTGTAAGAGATCTGTATAGCATCTATTTAAAGGAGTTATTTTAAATGAAACTAGATTTTGTTGAAGCTGCCAACCCTCTCTGCTGTCTGCCACATCAGGAACCCTGCTGCAAATTTGCAGTTCCATTATAGACTGATTCTCTGACTCTTACACAGCTTTGTATTTTCTCCACAAAGGTTTTCTTACCCGAATTTTACTCCAGATGCCTCTTAATTTCAACCAACACAGACTTGTTCTGCTTTTTTTTTAGTGTGCCTAAGTTGACAATGGCAAACCACCTCTGGAAAACCTTGTCAAAAAAAACTGTAGGGATTAGTCCAGGCATTCACCGGAAGACATATTTTCCTCAAGGCAGATACACACACACACACACACACACTAAGTGTTATAGTTGATCATAGTATTATAGTAAAACAGCAGAATTCAAGTTTCAAATGACAATTTGCACCTTAATGAATGTATTCATTTTGAATCTATTCCTATTTGCTGTATTATGCTAACATAGGTACCCATCTTGAAATCTTTCCCAAAATTGCTTTTTCAAGAGGCAACTGGACTTTCTCAAACACGCATCCAGTTTTGGTCGCCACACTATAAAAAAGATGTTGAAACTCTAGAAAAAGTGCAGAGGAGAGCAATCAGGATAATTAGGGAACTGGAGACTAAAACATATGAAGAATGGTTACAGGAACTTGGCATGGCTAGTCTAGTGAAGAGAAGGACCAGGGGAGACATGATAGCAGTGTTCCAATATTTGAGGGGCTGCCACAGAGAGGAGGGGATCAAGCTATTTTCCAAAGCACCTGAAGCCCAGACAAGGAATAATGATGGAAACTGACCAAAGAGAGGTTCAACCTAGAAATAAGGAGGAATTTTCTGACAGTGAGAACAATCAACTAATGGAACAGAAGTTGCCTTCGGAAGTTGTAGGAGCTCCATCACTTGAGACTTTCAAGAAGAGATTGGACTACCATTTGTCAGAAATAGTGTAGGGTCTCCTGCTTGAGTGGAGGGTTGGACTAGATGACCTATGAGGTCCCTTCCAACTCTGTTAATCTGTTAATCTATTTCTGGTTTTTCTTTGAAGACGTCTCGCTTCTCATCCAAGAAGCTTCTTTGGCTCTGACTGGATGGTAGGGAATCTTGAAAAAGCACCTTTGGGACAACCATGACTTGGATAACCGAGAATCTCCATAGACATTTTGAAATCTCTTAACTTATATTTTAGAAATAGCTGATGGTACAACCTAACTGGATATTCATTCAGACATCGTTGTACTATCCAGCAGAAGCAGCCAAGCAACCTCCGCAATAATCTACGAAGTCCTTCAAATCACATAGTGTAACTGCTTGGAACTTCAAATTCTTTATTCGGGTTGGCTTTTCAAACAAGCTCTCCATCTTTCTTTAGCATTCATCAATATGATGCTCATAGATACGAATATTTTTTTAAGCATCCATTGAAAGCGCATACTTTAATAAACGCCATGAGATTGTACCCTGGAAAGACTCTGTTTTGTGCTGGTTTGGCCATAGTTCAAAGAACATGAGACAGGGAAAGTGGGGGGAGGGGGAGGAAGAATAAAGAAAGTAAGCCTCTTTGCTTAGTTTCCAAAGTTTCCGGTGTTAAATGAATGTCCCTTTTTCCTCTGAGAAGTGAGCGGGTGCCTGCAATTAGGGCCCAGAGCTCTTCAGCAGTCTATGAACAACTGTCCAAATGAGGCGTAGTATTTCCTGAACCGAAGGAAAGCACAGCATTTGTAATGGAGAGTGTTGTGCAAGGAGGCAAGCCCTTCTCCACACCCCCCGGCTGATATTTATTCATGTTCCACATTGTCTGTCCAACCCACCCAGTGTTTGGCCTTTTCTCCTCCACGCTTTGCCATCTTCCCTTTTGGCAGAGAAGGATGTTTTCCTGGGATTCTGAATGCAGCGGAAATTAACAAAAGCTACTTTGGGACATCAACAAACTCACTTAACTCATTTGATGCTCAAAAAGTAAATGCATTTTGACTCAGTGAATTTTGGGGAAAGGACCAAAGGTTGCTTAAGGAGTACTAAGTAATGACCTAAGAATCTCTCCTGATCTTCTAAGGTGTTTCTCCCATTGGTTTTTCCTCCTTAATTGCCCTCTGTAAAAAAAGAAGCATGTAGATCAGGGAAGCATGATATACAAGGAAGAGAATAAAGGGATGGGAGATAAAAAGCTTTTAGAAAACACATCCATTTTGATAGAATGAATTTTTTTAATGGTAGAGAATATCATGCGAACTATAAGGGAAAAATTCTAATCTATTCTTTCACTTCCATATACATTTTCTACAATATTTACACAAGTGACCAAAAGTTTAAGGGGGCATTTTCAATTTGACTTTGTCCTTGTACAGTGTATTCAACTATATTCCACTAAATGTATAATTTTTGGGGAAAGAGCAGGGGAGAGAGAAAGAGAGAATGAGAATATTACTCCTTTTTAATTACATTTGTTAGTAAAGCCTCTTGATTTTTGTGTCACTGTACAGTAACATAGTATTTATCCTGTAATTATTTAGGGACAGTATCTTTGAGTCAGTTCAACTCCTAACAACCACATGGATATATCTATGAAGTTGTTTTCTCCTGGGATTTTAAAAAAACCTTCTTTTGACAAATGGTTTCCCATCCAAGAACGAACCAGGATTGAAATTGCTTAGCTTCTGAGCCATGTGCTGGCACTTGCTGAGCCAGGGATACTGAAGAGAGACAAAGAGTGATGTCATAGTCAGCAGAAATTAGTTACATATTCACATTATAGTTTTTAAAATTGAAAGTTTGCAAAGAAATAAGAAGTGGCACCCTTCTGCATTTGTTGGTTAGAATTAAAATAGAAGTGCAAACAGTGCTGACAGTGCCAAAACTGTTTTTAAGCCTGCAAGATCTATTTTCATATGAACCAAATGAAAGCAGCTGCAAAACAGGAGTTATGGGATGTAGAAACTGAAATGAGTATAAAGCAATCTGAAAATGTACCAGCTCCCAAAATGGTCCCTGTTAGCACAGTGAAATTCTCACATGCTTCTCTTTTCTAACAAGCCCACCCTTGATTTTAGGACTCTAATTGAGGTGGAGAATGGGCTTTCTGCTGTTAACATTGTTTTATCATTAGCAGTTAGTAACTTTCATGATCTACTGCTAATTATTTGAAGGTCCACCAAGGTTCTAAGTCTCCTTCTGCTCAGTTTGAATACAAGGAATCCAAAAAGGATGGAAATATAAGAGGGAAAACCAATTGGAATAAATGGAGCAGGGAAGCAAGATTGTTACTTAGATGAATATTTCATCATTTAATATCAAATAAAGAATTAGAAAATCAACCACATATCAATGTCCATACATTTGGTTTTGTTAAACAATGTTGGATGCAAAGTGTCCTCATACATTGTAAAGAACTGGCTAAGGAAAGATAATAAACAGAGAGTTAGACACTTTTTTTCATATCTTCCTGGTAAAAGAAAGTCAATATGCTTGTTTTAAAATTGTACAAAACAATCTTTATTAAGCTGCAGCTACCATATTGATGTTTGTAGTTACTAAAAAAAATGTAGGGAAATGTTTTGGGAAACATGGCATATGATACAATTTCAGCATCAACTCTACATAGAAATGCTCAAGAATAAAAGCTGATATATGAGAAAGTCACACACATTCCTTAGTAGAGTTGATTCCCCAAATGTGACTTATTCTGTTCAGGTTACAGAACTAAATGGGATCATTATTCTCATAACAGACACTAATATTTAAATATGCATCTTTTCATTCGGGGCAGGAGTGGGATTGAAAAGTTTTAGCAACCGGTTTTCTGACCAGTTGAGTGTGGCCATGGTGGGCATGCTTATTCAGCCTCCTGCACCACAGTGGGAGGGGGCATTTTCATCCTCCCCAGGCTCTGGAGGCTTTCCTCGAACTTTCAGGAGGGTGAAAACAGCCTCCCCCGAGCTTCGGAGGCCTTCCAGAGGCTGGAAACGGGCCCATTTCTGCATTTCCGGAAGGCTTTTCACCCTCCCAGAGCCTCCCCGTGGGCCCTGCACTTACCTAGTATCCAAAACAGGTTGCAGGGAGACTCCTGGGAGGGGAGGGGCAGGGCAGGAGGAGTCAGCCAGTCCTTTCAACTATCGGTTCAGGTGAACCAGATGTAAAATTAGCATCCAGTTTGCCTGAATCAGGCTGAACCGGCTGAATCCCACTCCTGATTTGGGGGTATTTGTCATTTCCCATGCTGCTATCTGTATTCTGGAGAATTATTGCACAAACTTGTATAGTTGCTCTTGAAGCATTTAAAAAGTGCTGGGGACTGGAATGACTTTTCCTGTTTTGTGCATCCCATTTTATTTTGGCATAATTTGGAATCCGCATTGTTCTACATAGTAAATAAATTTTCTATGCTAGAGACAGTGTTTATTTTTTCTTTGAAATCCTTTTGCACAAAATTGAAAAAACATCTGTATTTCCTCACTAACTTGAAAGTTAGGGAGAGGCAAATGTTTCATTTCTCTCTTTGGCCATCTCAGTTCAACCACTTCTCTTTGTTATGCTCCTAGGTGACCTCTCTGGGAATCACCACCTTCAGCCTCTGTGCCTTGGGCATTGACAGATTCCATGCGGCTACCAGCCCTCAAGCCAAGCTCCGCCCGATTGAACACTGCCACTCCATCATTGCCAAGCTGGCTGTCATTTGGGTGGGTTCCATGACCCTTTCAATCCCAGAGCTCCTTCTTTGGCAGCTGGCACAGGATACCTCACCAGTCTCTGGTGTAGTGTCTGACTACTGCACAATGAAACCTTTTCAGGAGCTGCCCGAGTCCATTTACTCTCTGGTTCTCACTTATCAGAATGCTAGAATGTGGTGGTATTTTGGATGCTACTTCTGCCTGCCGATCCTCTTTACCGTCAGCTGCCAGCTGGTCACCAGAAGGATCAGCAGCACAGAGAAGACCGAATGCCGTGGCAATAAGCATGGGCAGTGTGAGAGCCAACTCAACTGCACAGTGATTGGCCTGACAGTAATCTATGGTCTCTGCACCATCCCTGAAAATGTCAGTAATATTGTTGTGGCCTATCTGTCTCCTGACATGACGAAACAGACTTTGGACCTATTAAGCTTGGTCAACCAGTTCTTCCTGTTCTTCAAATGTTCAGTTACTCCTGTGCTTCTATTATGCCTTTGCAAACCCCTGGGGCAGGCCTTCATGGACTGCTGCTGCTGCTGCTGTGACGAATGTGGTCAAGAAACTACTTCCAGTGATAGTGGTTCTGAAAGCAAAATCAAAACCGAGATGTCCTCAAATATTTTCTTTGACAAGACCAGAGAGTCACCTCCCCCCGTAGGGTCCATTGGCACTCCATGCTAAGTTCAATCATCCTAGTGGTAGATCAACAGCAATTCTTCCGCTACCCTTTTCCCAAGACCAAAAGTTGTGATTTTCTTTTAGTATTAATTGGTGAAATAGCTGGACACTGGAGCTGGGAGCTGGTGTGTATCATCTGCTTGTTCCAGCACTGTCTTGTAAGAACAACTTAAAAACAAGGCATCACCAATAGCTACTGTATCTCTTCTCTGTTGAACAGCTATCAAGGGTACCATTGACTGCCCTGATCTACCACAGATAGAAAGGATGCTGTTCTGAATGCGAAAGATGCTGTGGAAAGGCCCACTTGCAACCCTTTCCAGAATGGAGAAATCACCTGTTTTAAAAGAGTTCATAGTACACACTAACCTATTCTGCACTGATGCAGGACCAGTACTGTCCTCTACTTCATGTCTGCCCCAGAGACAGCCTTGTACACAAAGTCAGCACTATCCTAGCCTCAATAAACCAGTAGACTAAGTAGAAAAAGGTTCCCGTCATTTTATTCAAAATGTGGTTGGACAATTGATCATTCTGTCAGTATTTCTATTAAAAAAAGTTAATTTGTCCAGACTGTATAAACTAGAATTCTTGTTTAACCAAGGAATCAGGATTTTCCACCAGGTTTCACTGTATCTTGTGGTGTGTGTGTTTGTGTGTGTGTCTGTGTGTGTGTGTGCAGGGGGGTGGGGGGTTTACAGGAACTGGTTCTGGGTTTTTTTATTCACACTTATTTTATTCGTTTTATACCGTTTGGGGTATTTTGATCTATCCATGGTTTCAGGTGACTACACTCATATGTTGTACTTTAGTGTAGAGCAATTAACTCATTGTGGCATCAATAGCAGCTTTCTTGGCAATTTTCTCTGTTCTTTCGGGCATCCAGTTTTTTTTCCTTTTATATCTTAATCTTTGACAGTCTCTTTTCGCACTCATGTTTACCAACTTCTTTATTTCATTCTACAATTCCTATTAATGAGGCTCAGAAATTTAAAGTACAGGCTGATGTTTTCCTTCAAAATGATGGGTCGATTGTACCACTGGGAACTGCATGGCTTTGTTCTTCTGCTTTAGTTCTTTCATTTGAAACATGCACATTATCTGTTCCACAATTTTCTCCTGGCTCTTTGCTGTTGTAATGGAGATTTTCCACCACCTTGTGACAATACTCTAAAGGTAGTCCTGACTTATAACCACAGTTGGGACTGGAACATCTGTCACTAAGCAATGCAATTAAGTAAGCTACGGCTAATTTTATAACATTTTTCTGCCATACTTGTCAGTGGTAGGTTTCTATTTTTTTTACTATTGGTTCTCTCATGCGCATGTGTAACACTTCTGTGCATACGCAGAAGCGTCCAGGTGGGTGGACGGAGCCTCCCACCACCGCTACTACCGGTTCGCCCGATCTGGGCTAAACCGGGAGCAAACCACCTCTGATACTTGTTAAGCAAATCACACAATTGTTAAGTAAATCCAGTTTTCCCCACTGACTTTCCTTTTTGGAAGCCCCCACTGAGATCAGCCCCCTGCTGATCATGTGACTCTGGAGTGCTGCAATTGTCATAAATACATGTTGGTTGCCATTTAATCATCTGACATGGAGAAGGTGCACCAGTCATAAATGCAAGGGCAAGTTGTAACTCAATTTTCTCAGTGCTATCATAACTTCAAATGGTTGTAAGTTGAGACTACCTGTAAATTTGATTTCTGTAACTCTTTCTGGTGGTGTCTACATAGATGCATGTTGTTTTGGTTGCTGCAAAACTGTTAGCAGTGAACAAATCGCAATGAAGAAATCATTAGATTGGCAGAAACAGGTACAGGCAGTCCTAATTTAACTACAGTAATTGGGATTGGAAACTCTGTTAAGCAATGCAATTGTAAGTTGAAAAACCATGATTGTGCCATTCCTTAATCAATGACCTCACATCACCATGACTTTCTATTTCCTGTTAGCTTTTCCACTCACTATTGTGGGAATCTGACAGGAAGGTCATGAGACTCCAGCATGCAGGGATGGTCAAAAGTACAAGATCCAGCCATAACTACCGCTTGTTCAGTGTCATTGTAAATTTGAACAGTTGCTGATGACTAAAAGAGGACTACCTGTAAATCATCCTCCTTCATTTCCTAGACTATGTAACCCAGTTATGTCTCTCCACCTTCATTCCAACTATTGCAAGTGACCTGTCGATATTGAGCCAATTTCAACAGCACAGCACAGATCATCTTCCAGTTTAAGATTTCACTTTAAACCAGTAGTAGGTCAAGAGGTCCTTAAGAGGCCCAAGACACATGTTCAAAGTTATGATATTTGGGGCACTTTGTATATAAAGAGCTTTCACACTCCCTGTCCTCAACCTCTGTATGTAGATGTCAGGTATTTACTTGTATTTCTTTTCTCAGATTTTAAATGCTCTTCTTTTAGAGCATTAAGTAACTTCATGAATAAATTAGAACAATAGCCCTGATATCCAAAGTAGAAGATTATTGATCAATAGTAGTGGATATATGGTTTCCAGTTCTCATGTACACTGATATTCAGGTGGCATTAAAAATGTAGAATTGACCCTATTGGAAAGCCTAGTTGGCATTCAGTTGCAGATCTGATACATAGTATTTCTTGTAGCACATGAAATGTTTACCAGAATGACAATTTTTTGTCACTATATGGTATTGCACAGCTTTTTGTGAGCGACTGACAGTCAGCTAGAGACTTTAAGTTCAATAGTGAAAACTCTCTGCCTTTTCCCTCATTGCACCAGCACCACACGTAAAGGATTTGGACACTGAGAATCTCATTGATATTTTTTTTTGTACTTTCAGTAAACAGCTGGGGGAATATGATCTGTGTGTAATACGAACATTTTTAAACACACAAGATGGAAAGCAGCCATTTATTTATCACATTGGCCTCCATGGAACTTTACACTTAGCAATTTTGGTTGTGCAAAGCTTGCTTATGTTAAGCACACAGATCAACGCCTTATCGACAGATTTTATATGAAAGTGTCACAGAATATAGACAAGAGGTGAAGTATAAGTAACACCAAGAAGCAGAAAGCTTGAATTAAGCGATGTGAGATGCCTCTGTCAAGCAATTTTCTGGTGTACTCTATTAATCTAGCCCCTCCAATCCAATTCCCTGCAAACATATTGGATTACAACGACTATAATCCCACTATGTTGGCAAAGGATGTTCTAAACCAGGGGTGTCCAACTCGATTTCATTGAGGGCTGCATCAAGGTTATGTTTGACCATGGGGGAGTGGGTTGGGCGTGGCCAGCTCAACATCACTCATGTCGGGGGCACCTGTTGTGACCCAAGTGCTCTGCTCGGGAAAAAGGAGCTTTTGCTGGCAGAAGCACCATGGGCCGGTCCTTCACTGTTTCCAGGTGGCCCCGCAGACTAGATCTAAGCACCCTGTGGACTGGATCCAGCCCTTGAGCCTTGAGTTTGACACCCCTAAAGGTAGAGAACTTTTCAGATAGTACTAAACCACAATACCCAATCAATCCAAACATTATTATGGGGCTGATGGAAATTAAGTGTCTAATATTTGAAAAATGAATGTATTTCACCCTGTCTTAAAGGTACAATCATATGTCCAGGAGGAAACACAATTAGTTTCTTCCTATCCAATATCTGAAAGCAAAGCTTTCACATCAGAATTTCTGATAGTTACCATTGCTTTTACACTATAAACTGTGCATTCTGCACAGAATATGAATTGGAAGAGCTATGCAGGGATATAGTGTAATATATAGTGTTAGAGGCAGGAAGTGATTATCCAGAGTTTGCTTGTAAATCTATGAGGAAGAACTTACCTGTCCCAGGATCCATTTTAGTGATGTTCTTACTATCAGCAGCTGTCTTTGCAAGACAAGCTTTTCAAGGGTTAACCAGTCAACAATATTGTGACTGTACAATACTGAAGGATAAACTAACCACGTTTCAATTCACTAAAATAAAGCATGGCTAGTTTGGGAATGCTCCAGTATTACTGGATTTGTAATTATTCCAAAATTGATTGGAATCACTGTCTACCATTATGTGCATTTGTGTAACATTTAAACAGATCACAATATGACCTTTCCCAAACTGCATTTTTCATCCAGGCAAAAACTATACTTGTTTCAGTTTCAGTTCACCCATGTGGCAAATTAGGCTCCATTAGTATATCTCTCCTAGTTCACGGAGTTGTGAGGATAAAAGGTAGGAATAGGTACACCATCATGGGTTTTTAAGAGGAATAAAGGCAGCTAAATCTAATCTATAATATTAATGTGTCAATATTACAACTATAGCTTACACCTGGACGGAATATTTCTCTTTTAGAAGGATAAATTTCACCTCATTTTTAGACATTAGTGGTACAAATCACAGCAATTTGTTACAGTTAGGACGAGTGAGTTAGTTCAGAATGTTTTGTTATGAGTTTTGTTTGTATATATTTCTTACTCATAGATGTCAAGTACTTAGTGATGGGAAATACTTCTGCCAACAACATAAGGAACGTGGAAAGGGAAAACAAATCTAATATTCACTGTGCATTTTTGAATTGTAAGCATTTAAGCTCCTTCTATAGTGCTAAAGGACTCAGTGGATAAAGCTTTTCAAATAGTTATGGTCTAATGGCCTGACTTTTTGACAGGGTACTTACTTTACATCCGAGTTCGTTTAACATAGATAATAAAACCACTAAGCTTTAAACCAGGATAAATTTACAAAGCAAAACACTGCCAAATATCTACCTACACCACCAGCACAGTATGGTATGTTCTGATGTGTGAATGAGACCAACATTAAAGGGATCATTATCCAAATTCCATCCCAAGGAAAGGAACTGCCATCCCTATGCTGGTTTTCTGCAGAATAGCTAAACTCCTTCAAACAAGCAGGGAGAGGCTCAGTTTCATAAAGCTCCAATACTCCTGCTTGGCCCAGAGGTTTCTCTCTGTTCAGGGATAGTTGAAGAATAAAACAAGCATCTTCACAGGAGTGTTCGCTTGGCCTGCAGCTCTTTTTGCTTTTGGGGGTGCTCTTCCCCATAATTTCCCTGTGAAGAGAGACTCCCAGCTCAGTTTGCTGAGGGTTGAAACTCTCTGTATTCTGCTTTCTTTGGATTGCACCCTCAGAAGGGAAAAACGCCCGGAGAGAGGGAGGCAGTTGCTAAGGGATGGGCTGCAACTGCTACAAGGGGATCAGTAAGGGCTTTGTATAGGGAATGACACCCACAGTCCCTTCATGGGCCTGCTGCCATGGAGACAAAGCCTCTGTCTATGTACAAAGAAAGTGATGTTTGGACTGCTGCCCCCATTAGCAAACAGGAGAATGCCTGGGGCAGCCATGCTTTCTGTCTCTTGAGGAATCATCTCTTCTCGGCCAACCAGACTTTTCTCCCTTTCTATTCCCCGATTCTCCCTCTCCTGAGAAACAGGGAAAAACCTGTTGCTCGTCTAGACCATGCATAGTTTTTTGGGATGAGCCATAGTAAACATCTGTTTCAAGAAAGCCTGGAAGTTTCAAAAATTGTGAGAATACAATGACAAGATGCCATACATGGACAAAAAACCCCGTCTCTTGCATCTCTCAACTTAGCTAACTCTACAGCCTCAGGTTGATTTCCCCAATATTCCTCTTGTGAGCCTCCCACATCCTCAAAAAGCTGCTAGAACCTTGTCCCACAATGTATTAATTTATTACACTATCTTCTTTGGCTTATACTCAAAAGACAAGGAATGGGAGGGAAGGAAGAAATTGTTCACATAAATGTGCTGTTTATTTAATTTATTTATGTACATCACTTAGACTCCACCCACTTCAACAAAGTCTATGGGGCTAGAGTTGATGAAGCAGCACCAGCAGCTGTACATAAATCACAGAAGACAGTGAAACAGCAATGGTTTGATAAATCTGCACTTCTCCAAATTTTGGCCATAACATCAATACAACCATAGACACATCCTTTCTCATCTCCACGAAGCCTTCACATAAAAGTATATCAGAAAAAAAATGACCCAATCATTTTTATTTGCATCACTTTGAAATTCAGTGGTAGAGATGATGCTGGACTGTAATTCCCATCTCTAGCAACAACAAAACTATTAGGGATGGTGGTAATGAGCCCCTCCAGTTTTAAGAAAGAAAAAAAACTCAGGAGACTACATACATGTAAGCTAACATATAATTGTTACCAACATAGAAGCCGATAATCTCAAGTGATTGAAGCCAGACTGAACAATTATGACACAGATACAGGGTGAGATGAGGCTGCTGTCTTGATTCATGACTCTTGATCCAAGCCCTACCAGGATGGTTGAAGGGTGTGCAGCCAAAGCACTAGTGTGACCTGAATATCTAGCAGTATAAGAGGGGAATGGATGGGAGCAGCTATTCATATTATGCTTTCCCTGCTGGCTTCCTCTGAGCAAGGGCCAAGCAAGAACAATGCTAGGCTTGTTGTCACAGCTCCTGGTTGGTCAGAACACTGGGGGTGGGGAATGGAGGGTGGAAAAAAAAGGGGACCAATCAAGCCTTCCTGGAATATTGCAGAACTGGGGGAGGGCAAGAAAGGAAAGGGTTGAGATTTTCAAAGAAGTTGAAATCAGGAAGGGTGAATTTCATTCAATTCAACTGCCCCTGTCCCCTCCCCACCCCCAAAGCAGGCAAAGTACACAGGACAGCTATTTCCAAGACAATTGCTCAGATGTGTTACTGTTGGAATAAAAAGAAACTCGAATGTTCCTAGTATACAAGGGTGAGATGGCAGAAATTGTTTAATGATTTGCATAGTTGCTGATGTAAAGTTTTTAAAAAAGCAGTCATATTCCTGTAGTTCACAAGATCTGGGGAAATATCTGAGGTACCGTCATTTTGTACAGTGCGTAAGGGTAAGAATACAGCAGCGGAGCAGTTTTAACTATGGACCTGTATGGAAAACATGAGCAGTCGCTAGGTGAAGATTGTAATAAGACCAAGCATAGAAGAAGGTTCCATAATCAAGGTATCATCACGGAAAGGGAAATTGTTTCTATTGGCAATCCTATCAATTGATAGATCAATTTTATTTTGCAATGCATGGTTGGGCGAAAGTGAATTCTGACTATGTAGAATGAATTTATAATCATATATATTCCATTATCCACCACAGAAAGCAGGGTTTCCATGGCAAGTTGTAGGAGTTTCCTCAACAACACAAACCAATATGGAGATTTCTTAGACGTTTAACTTAAAATTGGAAACAGATCATACTCTGGGATTTTCAGTGGCTATTAGCATGCTAGACTGGGGAATTAATCCAAATTCAAAGCAGCTAGTCATGCTCAATTCAAATCAAAATTTACTTAGGGGCCGAGAGGAAACATGCCAATCACATTGACAGAGGATCTACAGAAATCCCAAACAACTGGAAAGCATTAAGGGGGAGGGGGAGAACAGATAGGGATAATCTGGAGCCCTCCAGATTTTTGTTTTACAAAAAAATTATCACTGACTTGGCCAGACTTAGTTGTGCTGATTGTTTTAGCACTTGCTCAGACCATTCCTGTTTTTATTCCAGAGACATCCAATCAGTTATACAATATAGCTTCTTGAATTAATCCTGAACCAGATTCTAAAATAATGCTGAAGTTACCATGGATCAGAAATTGGAAAGAATACCCTTTAAATTAAAGTCAAAATATTGAGTTTTATTAAGAGTGTTCCAGTCAGTTTGGTATAAGAAAAAAGTTATGTTACATTCTAGAAATGGAGCTACACTACTGTGTTGTCTGAAGGAACACAAATAGCAATGTCTCATCATCAAGCAAGAAGCCATTTATTAATTGGCTCAAATATTCTCTTGATGTCTCTGCTAAACATCTGTTTCTTAACACCAGATTTATTCCCTTTATTAGCCTACTATTTCAATGGTCAGTGAGAATGTTAGCTGAGAATAATGGGAATTGTAGTGTGATTGACCTGAAGAATATGCTGTTGCAGAAATCTCACTGAAACTACCCCACAAAGAGCCTCACATCTTTACCAGAAGAATAATACTGGGAGAGGTTTAGCTTGGTTCCTTCCTAACCTTTCTAGAATGACATTTGTAACATTTCAAGAACAAACTCCTTTATTTATTATTTTGGTCTCTGTTTTCAAGGCAATGGAGTGTTTTTTGCTCTTCCACAATAGGGGGGAAAAACCCCAGAAGAATCAAATCTTCGGATACAGCATGGAAAAGAAAGTATGAACAAACCACCTGAAGAAAAAAGGTAACAGTGCAACCACCACCAACATAAAATTGTTAATTTATTGTTATTTTGAGCCAAAAAAAGTACTGTTACAAGATTTGTTTTCCAGAGGTCAACGTATGAGCCAAAAATGTATTTTTTAAAAAAGGAATAAATGACACTATACAATTGATTAAATTAAAAAACGTAAAATGCTTCCTTGTGCAGCTTTGTGAAAATGAGGAGAAAAGAAAACATGAAATTAGAAAGCACCCTCCCCCTCTTGAGGGAAGCAGCTCATGGCAGGATGGGCCCTGCGACTGTACACCTGTCCATAGCTTACATGGGACAGAAAGAGATATAGCCACCCAGTAGCATCAACTACCTTTACAAGAAACAGTATTAGCTTATCGCATCTTTAAATATTTTCCATCGCTTCACTTCCTGAGCTTCTCTGCAGCTGCTTTAAGTCCTAGGGTGATTCAAAAGGAGACATAGAAGCAGTAGCCTAAATTGACCTCCCTTAGTGAGGAATATCATGGCCTTTGCCAGAAACTCAAGCACGGTATAATCCAAGGGGTTTCTTATACAAACCCACAGAATGAAATTCCCTCTTCTACTCTATTATCCTAAACATCATCCTTGAGTTTGAGAAGCAGTTTCCATAGCTCGCCGTGCATTGGTGGAAGGAAAAGTGGGGCGGAGGGGAGATTTAAGCTTAAAGGACACCTAGAAAAGAATCCTGGCTTCTTACAGCTTCATCCTGAGCTCTGGGCAAAGACAGCCTCTTCTGCATACCCTCCTTGCTCTAGAATTCAAATCAGGTCTGTGCTTTGAGTGAACCATTCTATGAGCTCTGTCTTGCTCAAAAGGCTTTTGAATGGGACCTTTGCAGAAGTCATTCTGTTCCTCAACAATCCACAAATGTCTGAGGGACGAGACATCCTAAAACATGGACTCAGTGAATGCTGGCGATCCAAAACTAGTCGCTTTGGCAGCACACCAGAATTCTAAGTCATCTGCATAAGTCACAGGATGTACATCATGCACTGCCTGCTTCCGTTCAGGGAAATATCTTGATCTTTGTAAAGAAAGCTGCCTTTCGGGTTTTCAAAGAGAGGGAACGCATCCAGCATATATCAAGTATGGTTCTGAAACACAGCAGCAGCAAGAGATGATGTTCTGTATCTTCAAGTGCAAGGTGAATGAGATTTAAAGCTCAGATCAAAGGGCTTCACTCCTGCCTGCTGGCCATTGTTTCTAAGGATTTAATGGCAAAGAAAAAAACAACCCTGCATTGGCTCTTCCCTAAAGTCTTGCACAGACAATTAAATGCAAATACTGCTCTAGGACGCTCTCCTGGAGATGCCCCCCCCACCCCAAATAATCATACCATATACAGAAGGAGAAAAGAGGTGCTAAAGATGGAAGGAGAGAGTTATCTTGCAGGGAGAGTATCACCCAAAGTTATGCTCTGTACCCAGCAAGATCCCACTTGTTCTGTGGCTGCTTGTGACGTCCCCAATACTGCATTTGTTACTTTCCCACCCCATCCATTAGCTGCTGCCCCCTTGACAGCTGACAGGCCCCATTTAGTAACAGTGTAATTGCTTAAATTAAAAAAATTAAAATATATATACATATATTTATATATATATATATATACTGTACACACACTGACAACAACAGAACAGTGCCAAAATCAGAGTAAGGAGCAAAAGAGAGGAGGGGGCAGACAGTTTCTTTATAATAAAAACAGGAGTTCAATCTCAGCTGAAGAGGGTTCTGGTGTCCCCTAAAAATACCCATCTAGGGAAAAAGAGGTGGGCAAGAGGGATGGAAAGAGCAGGAGATGGGGAAAGAGAAAGGGGGAGGAGGTGCGCCTGGCTTTTACAATCGCATCTTCCCGATCCAAAACTTGGACAAAGAGCTCTCAGCTTCGCCGGGACTTTGAATGCTGAATAAGCCACTGTAGGGTGATATCTGTCAAAGAGAAGGTAACAGTTTATGACCATTGAGAAGAAAAGGAAGATATGCTAAACTTTCTACTGCTTACCTGGAGGTGAAATAAAATGTGCAGAGGTCTGCCCAATTAAAAGCCAGAACTTTATCAAACGCTGGCTGAATCAGTCTTGCAACCCACCAGAATTGATAAGGGCAAAGGGTGATGGGACCCAAATCTTCCCTCTTCCAACTATGAAATGAATGGAAACCCCAAGGAATACAGAACCAGTGCTGTCTTAACGCATGGACCTGGTGGGCACTTGTCCATGAGCCCCACGAGCACTGGGGCCCCATACTAAACTGTGTACGTTAACCCTTCAATGCACCTTGTATCATATACACACAGCAACATATTTATTACATTTTACTGCATTTTTTTATTAATACTAACATGCAGTAATAGAAATTTTTTTCTGAAGATCATGAGATCTTGTGTTTTTAATGTTTCAAACCCGATTTTGTTGGATGTGCCAATAAAAGAAATATATGTTTAATTTTATCGACCATTTACATTTTTATTCCTGTGAGTAGTTGTCATAGGGGCCCCAGTACACTGCTTTGCTCAGGGCCCATAATGCTGTTGAGACGGCCCTGTACAGAACCCACATAATAAAGTTGACTATAGAGCTCAGCTGACTTGGCTGAACCTGTCCACGTTATGGGCAAAACCAGCAACTGGGTGTCTCCTTGGAAGAACTCTTAAGATTTTGCTGCAAATTCAGCCTCCATCAAGACTTTTGAGTTGTTACATACTCTGACCTTTTAATCTTTCCCAGTCTTTGCTTTTCCAGCTTACCAATGTTGTCTTTTTCTTTGCAAGAGATTGAATAGCAACAGATCTCTCGGTCCTGGATGGCAGACAAGTTCCTGAAAGAGAAGTAACAGCACGAAAGATCAGAGGTCTTGGAAAAGAAAAGGACAACTCACATAAAAGGATCATTGCCAGCCAAAAAGAGTGATAAAATGTGTCCCAGCAACCTGCATCTTCAAAAATAATGACAAGAGGATGAGATCAGTACATTTCCTTTTGAATGATGACCTCACTACTCATGAGATCCTGCTATCCTCATTTATCGTCTCTATTCACTCTGGATCTCCTAAAACTTTGGGGATGTTATCCCACAGCCAATCTGATTTAAGGGTCAAGTATTGTTCACATAGGCTTCATGCAAGCATTTACAAGAACCCGACACCTTTAAAAATAAAATCCATTTTAACTTGATTTCCAGGATAAAGTATGAGGGGGGGAATTAATAAAAATAAATATAATAACTTTCCATTGCTAAAGTGCAATAAATGGATAACAACAGTAATAGGAAAGCTCTTAAATGTTGAAGATTGACAAATTCCGACTGGCAGTGTGTTCCAGAGGCAGACAAGTGAGAAAGTTTTCATATTTGCACACTTTGGTATGGTTTTAAAAAAATCATGATTTCATTACTGTATGCATATGGAACAGATTGCCTAAATTAGCTCTGACAGCGGATTAAAATATGCTGTACAAAGGTCCACCCAACAATTAGGACTAACATGAACTCTGCTATTCCAGAAAAGTCTATGAGCTTGAGTGTGTAAGCAACATGAAAGTTTCTTCTTGTAAATAAGCATCCCTAGATTTTGAATAGCAGATCAATGTATGAGACTGCCTTCTACTGAGTGGTCAACCCTTTCTTAACTTTGAAGCTGCAAAGATGAAAGCTGGAGGTTAACAATTGCGGCCTATATTCAAAGCTTGAGAAAGGCTGGGATCTGTTGGTATCTATGAGATCAAGTTGCCTCCAAAATCCATGCCATTCAAACCCAGATGGGTAACTTTGCTGGATGAGCAGACTTGGGCATCATTCACAGAAAGCACACCAAATAGCAAAATAAAATAGTACATGTTAGCTCTTGTTATCTCTCTCACCTCAGCCTCTTCTGAAGAGCTGAAAGGAAAATGGTTGCTACCTCCGCCCAAAAATACTAATGACACTGGCACACAATAGTGCTCATCCTTCACTGCCCAAACACACTTGCCGATGGGGGCTGGGAGGGGGGGGTAGGGAAGATTTGGTAACTCCACTGTCTTACTTGGCTAAGAAAGTCTGCATAAGATTATGGGCTCCTTCAAATACAATCATCTTAGCTTACACCATCTTTATGAGGAAATATTAGTTTCTTATTGCTGGGTGTTGAAAAGTGCTAAGGAACAAGTTTCAAAATCATAATCTTACAAAGAAAGTGGAACCTAATAAGGATAGAAGAATCCCTCATAGGCTCCATCATAGGCAGAACCTGGCCAAGGATATTTCCTTACTTCTTCTAATCCCCTTCAATTTTTTTAAGCTGCCAGTTTGAATGAGTCCTTGCTTTCTTGAGTCTTCTCCTTATTATAGCAGAAAATATTACTAAAAAAACAATTCCTCAAATATATGAACCCTGCCAACAATTGTTCAGCCTATTTGGGAAAAAAGGAGAAATGAGAAATACTTGCCTGCCTATACTGCCACCATGTGGCAAATGCAGTGAAAAACTCAAAGCATATTAGTTTCTTTCAGGAAATTGCATTTCTGTGACCCGATATGGGTTCATAGTGCTTTTATTTACAGGGCTATCCCTGGACTGTGATATTCTCAGTAAGTGGTATTTGTTTTGTTCTATAACAATAGAACACACAATCTAAGGAAGGAGCTTCATGGCCAGAAACCCTATTATCAGTGTTCAGACAATGGGATATCCAGTTGCATTTTGATTTTGAAAATGGCTTTTAATCCCGTAGGGGTTGTGAAATCATCTGTTGAAAATAAAAAATTGTGGATGGCTCTAGCCCCATAGTTTGTCTTGAAATATGCTAAGGACTAAAGAAAAATTTTCTGACAGTAAGAAAAATTAATCAACAGAACAGCTTATCTCCTGGAGTTGTGGGTACTCCATTGCTGGAGGTTCTCAACAGAAGATTGGATATTCATTTGTCCAAGAGGGTTCAAGGTCTCCTGCCATGGGTTGGACTATTCCAGACCTATGATTCTATATATTCTATGCTTTCTCAATGCTTAAAACCATGTAGCGTGCAATATGTTTTCTCATTGTGCTCTTTTCCAATTATTTCAATTCTGAAGCAAATAGCTGATACAGAGCAATGCTTCTTTGTTCTTCTCCCCAAAGCCTTTTGCTCTTCCTGAGATTTATCACCACCACCATCATCATTATATGTATTCATGGGATAGTAGCCCCAAAGATGTTACCTGCTTTTCTGGTTTAAAAAAACCTACAAGGTATTATCAATAAACTACACTATACTTGAACATAGTATTCTCCAAGGCCTCAGATGATTTGCAAACTCATATATATATTACCACTACCAAATGCAAATGACAATAAATTCTATGCTGCCTTTTCTATAGCAAATTAAAATGGTTCCTCTTTGGACTTCTATTATGAGATGTAACTGTAATGAATTAAGTTTTATTTTATAATCAAGATTTTCAACAATGAGGGACATTAATTCATAGCAGCTCTGGAAAGGCAAGTAATCTAAATAGCAAATGTACATCTGAAAAAAATACAGTCCATAAATCAAGTTAGCTAGACTTGTATAAGTTCAGGAATGAATGCCTTCAGTATCGTAGTTTGATAGATATTCAACTAGGTAAAAGTCTACAGAAATACTGCCTGGATATCAGGCCTGAATTTCCTTAGAAGCAGATTTCCCTCTTTCAAAAATCTCAGGAGTCATTGTTCAGGAAGGTTCTGGCGGTGAAAATAATTCCTTTCCATTGATGGTAAAGAGAAAACCAGGAGTATCACATTGGATTTAAAAAAGAAGAAGATACTGCAATAGTAGGGGGAAAGAAGCATGCGCGCTGATTAATCTGGAACTCAAATGCTGCTTAATAAATTGCTTTGGTGCGAGAAAAAGAAGAAACATGGAGCAATAAAATGTGCAAGACTGCAGTAATAAAATACACAGGACTGAAGCAATTTGAGGTATGCTCCACATCTCTTCAAAAATCCCACCAGTAAAAGTGAGGCTTGAAGAGATTTGGAGCTTTGTTTTTTTATTAAGGAGATTTATAGGTCTAGCCAACTCACAGTGACTCCGGGTGGCCTACTCCTGATTTAAGGTTGATACTCAAACTGTTGCTACAATGATTGGTGAAGATAAAAAAACATGAAAGGAACTGTGGTATAGTGAAAACTTGGAGTTTATTAGTTTATGAAGAACTTTGGATTTATCAAGCTTAACATAGAATCACGAACATGATTTTGCTCTGTTGGAAAGAAATTGCTACTAGAGACTTAAAATCTGGACTGAAGATATGGCTCACTTTCGGTCTTTGAACTGGTTTGTTATTAACACAATGGAGATACTGATTGATCAAAATGATTCTGTAAAGACAAGGTTTGATTTGTCGTTTAAAATCTGTTACACCTGGATAACATATCCATGCAATGTACGTGTTTGTTCCTTTTTCTTTTTCCTACTTTTTATTACTTTGTGTTTGTAGGAATAATTTTGCTAATTTCTTCTAGTTGGTTGTCCACTAAAGTAACAGTTATTAAAAATGTAATCTCTTCAGTTGATTTTTACTTCTGGCAACCTCATATGCACATCTATCCAATTATTTTTAATAAGATGAGTGGAGGCAGCACCAGCTAAGTGGAAAGTGTGGAGCACTCTTCTTGGCTGATCATTAGAAAGGAATGCAATGCTGCAGGTTAAAGCATGGGTCTTGCTCAGTGGTGGGCTGCAGGCAGTACGCCCCGGTATGGGCGTACCAGAGCCTTCCCAGAGCACTGGATACCATTCCGGTACGGTGCTCCGGAGAGTCCACCCGCCCGAACTCCTTACTGGTAGTTTAAGTCTTTGACGCTTCCGCGCACGGCACGTACAGTGCCTGCACGATGCTCCACTGAGCAGCTGAAGCATTGCAGAAGCTCACGGAGGCACTAAAAAGCATGTGCATGCTGCGCACATCCATGTGGACGCTGCCGGGCCCGTTCCAACCGTACTGGTTGGAACGGGATCCGGAATCCACCACTGGTCTTGCTATTACCTGGGGATCTTGTCTTGATTGCCAGTTGATTTCAGACACTAGTATTTGATGTTGAAAACTGCCATTTTGGCAGCCTGTCTATTTTGTGAAAACTTGAACTTGCTAGCAGCAGGCGCAGACAGAATTTTCAAGGTAGATGTTGGGCATGTGCTAGGAGATCTGAAACTATGGATATAGAGCTCATGGACTCTCCAACTGGATTTTGCTGTCCAGATGTTTTTGTGTATCTGGCTG